CATCCGGGCCTGCTGACTTGTACCCATCCAGCTCTTTCAGGAGCTTCTTAACTATTTCAGAACTAACCGTAGGTGGACTGGTGCCATGTGGACGTCCGTCAGTGATCAAGGTGGGGGAATTGGCTTGGTCGGTACTTAGAAATACTGAAGTGAAGAGCTCATTGAAGAGCTCTGCTTTTTTCCCCGCGTCAACTGTCCTGATTTGTCCTGCAGGGGCCCTATGTTGCTCTGAACTTTCCTTTTGCCCGCTATATACCTGAAGAAGGACTTTTTATTGTCCTTGATTGTTGAAGCTAGCCTGAGCTCAAGCCCTGCCTTGGCCTGTCTAACTGATTCCCTGCAATAGCGCGCCAGGGAGATATATTTATATATCCCAGTTTAGATTTGAAATATTTTTATGTTAAATTCAGGTTGACTAGTGGCCCTCTGACAAGTACCCAAATATGTTTTGTTATCTATTAAACATGCACAGTTTTGTTCTCAGTAAAATATATAACTAGTTCTGCAGTCAAATACTACATTTGGCACCAAGCTAAATGCCTAAATGCAGGGTTCCCCAAAAGATAACAATGCTTGGCTTTTCTTTTTTTTTAAATTTCCTTTCTTTCCTCTACTTTATCTATTTTTCATTTATAATCATAGTCTTTGTCTTTTCATAATACATTTTAAAAGAATACTCAGATACCTAATATGGATGAAAGTGATTCCTTTTATTGCTAATGGGAGTTGTATGTACAAATCATAACACTTCTGATGACAATACATCTTTTACAGATTTTTTCCATTTGAACTACAGTAAATGCAGACCTTGTTCAAGAAAAACTGGTGCTATGCTAGCTGCAAAATGTTCAGTATTTCAAAAATAAAAATGTATCTAACTTATCAAGCAAAATGCATGCTCTTAATTTTACAGATGCTATAGCATCATCAGTGATTCCCATTTTAATTTATTTAAGAACTGGCAAAAACAAACAACATTGTGAAAAAATCAATTATATCTTCTTTCTAAAGGATAAATCAATATCCTTTCATGGGTTTGAAATGAGATAGGGGATAATTCATATTTTTGAAACTGCTTTATGCTATTTCAGAGATAGGACTTGATCCATTTATGAACTTTGTTTGAACTTTTTAGGTCTGGTTACAAGGCTGAGATATCCAGTGACTCCAAAAATGAAGCCTGCACCCACTACTGCAGGATTCAGCTATGGTAATCAACACCTCTCTTACATTACCTAACTTTTTTTAGGTGGCATTTCATTTAATAAACTAAACTGACACAACATATGAAAAACGACAGAAGTTTGTGATTTCATATTGTCAATCTGCATTTTACTTGTGTTTCCATGGTCAACCATTAAACCCCCCAGAGAAGATGGTTTCGGGGCCCCACAACATGGACAGCAATGCAAGGGTGGTTGAAGGAAGTATGTTGTCAGGGAGAAGTGATGGAAAGGTTCAGAAAATATATACCTGGCCCTCTACAAGTATTCAGTGCCCCGGTGGACATTCTGATATTTGCTTCCATTAGAGGGTCATACCTTGCCTCTCTTATACAGGCTCTTAAACTTCCCCTCCTCAAATTTGGCCCCTCCATTTCTTAAACAAACAAGGGAATTAAATGCTCCGGCTCCTTCTTAGTATTTCAGACATTGCCCAGGCAGGTTGTACAGCTTCAGTGAATGGGCACAGTCTTAGATTATAGTGGCATGCTGAGCCAAGTCTGATAATATCAGCATGTAATAATGTTGTGTTGTGTTTTTTGGGTTTTTTTAAAGGGTTTTTCTATCTCAATTAGCAGCCCCTAATAAATTGTAGCTGTTTCATAATTTATCCACACTTTAGGTGATAAGAACTAGGACACTTTCAAACTGGTCATAAGGAGCTTTATACCCAAATCTGTAAGCAGTTCAACACCTTATTCTATCACCTACATTCAGTGTGCATATATATATAACAGTCCTTGTTTTTTCTTACAGAGAAATGGGAAATTAATCCATCAGAGCTGACATTCATGAGAGAATTGGGGAGTGGTCTTTTTGGAGTAGTGCGACTTGGCAAATGGAGGGCACAGTATAAAGTAGCCATCAAAGCAATCCGAGAAGGTGCAATGTATGAGGAGGACTTCATAGAGGAAGCTAAAGTCATGATGTAAGTTATTGTTAAGTACTTTATATAGCAGACTTCAGATTTCTGATACCGCGTACCAGAGGCAGATCCAGAGCGGGTGCAGCAGTGCAGTGCAGCTGCAATCCCTTTTTGGATTGGACTGCACCATATGGGAGTCTCTGGGGATTTTTTTTAAAGTCCCCAAAGCAGTTAAGAATCCTCCCCCTTCCTCTCTGAACATCCCTCCCCTTCCCCACTCCCCCACTTTTCAGCTGCTACTTTCTCTGCTATCCTAGGGGCAGGGTAAGCTTCAAAGCCACTCGTGTCCACTCCACCAGCTACACAGGAGCTGGACGGAGCAGTAGCAGTGATTTGATTTTTTGGCCAGAGATCCACTCCTTGTGCCTGCTCCTGGGGGACT